TGAATCATTTAAAGATTTTATCAAACTTTTTAAACGTGATTCTCTATGGGCGAATCGTAGTGACACGTAAACAAAACGCCATTGACTTAAAAACTGTAAATCAAATCGCTTAAAACGAGGTTTTGAAATTTTTAAAAAGTTGATGGCACCGCCAAATTTAGGTGAAATCACATACATACATATCTCCGGGCCTACTAGACCAATTTCAATCTTTGAAAATCTTATATCAAGTATATGAGAGATAGTGGTAGTATTGACCCGATTTTATCTATCTTTGGCAATACAACATACTATTAACAGAATAAAATGATCCAAGTTTTCACCCGATATACCTTATTTTAGGTATAAAAATCAAAGGCACTATTCGTACATACATAGTTCTATCCCCTTATATTCATGGCTTCTTGATTTGTATACTGGAAAGTGAAAGAATCATATGAAGTTTAAAATTATGTTACATGGGAAGTAGGTGTGGTTGCAGTCCGATATCGCCCATTTACGCACTGGTCATCAGGAGAATACTATGCACCGAATTTGGGGGAAATTGATCCAGTAGTTCCGGAAATATGTGATTTTACTTAAACGTGGACGGTCCCACACCCATTGTCCAATTTTGACATCGGATTAAAGGATATAAATATATGCATTAAACTTATTAGAGGGCGCGGCCACGCTCACCTTCAAAAAATTTTCAATCATAGATGGCCCTTCCTAATAATCTTAATCAGGTATAGGAGAGATAGTGGTAAGGTATTTTATAGGTTTTCGATTAATGATGTTTTGTGGGCGTGGGATTGGTCCGATTATGCCCATCTCCAACACCAAACTTCTTATGGTGCCAAAAAACATGTATACTACGCTTCATCAGGATATCTTAGTTTTTACTCAAGTTACACCTTGTACGGACGGGCGAACGGGCACAGACAAACAGTCGGCCGGATTTCAACTCGTCTCGTTATCGTGATAATTATTATTATATGCATATATAATCCTTTATTTAACCCGATTATTTTTAGGTGAAGAAAACATTATACTCTGTAGCAACGTGTTGCGAGAGTATAATAAACTATTAGGTATTAGACTGCTGCACAAGTGCACATTATATCACCAGAGATATATAAAAATATCTGATAGGATTTGAACTTAGAAAAAATGTTTCACTTTGCAATAAAGTATGCTATACAAGCAGCACCGCAGACGATATTCGGTAAACTTTGTCTAATCTGTGAACTCAAACAGCTTTGTTGTTTACTTGCTTCAAATGTTCATATGTCTATATGTGAATATTCTTGAAACTGCCTTCCTTCATTCGCATGTCCAAATACATTTGCATATATTTACACATATGTACATATGTATGTCAAATATTCGCGCAAGTGACAAAAAACGTAGACGCACCATCATCCGCCAATAATATTCAAGCAATTTCGCGGCATAGTTTCTACGTATTTCCTATTACAACGACAACAAATTCATTTAAAAGGAACGTGCGTCTGCTACAACCACATTTGGTTTTCCTTTGAAATTTCTACGCAAATGTGCGTTTAGTTTATAATACTAGCTACTTAAATACTCACTAAAATAATTAGAATATTTCTGTAAAATATGTTCATATATTTAGGTTTATTGTATATTCCCTTATTTATGTGTATAAAAATGTGAAAATCACACAAACATTCATAAGTACACGTACGCTGATGCTTGCTTCTTCTTGCCCCGCACAAACAATGACGTTTGTCTACACTTTTTGCTCTTTGCGAGAAGCAAGTTGAACGATAGCATGCAAGGAGCGCAATGCCATATAATTAATACAGATAGTTTTTATCAATCGAATTATTTTAAAAACGATTACAAGTATCAATTTATGGGTATTAATATTTTAAGTATATTATTATTATATTACAAAAATAAGTCATAAATGCATAAGTATTTTTCAATACAAATTAAGCAACATACTAATATATTATGAGCCCTCACTTGACACGCCTCTGTGCATGGTGGCAAGCCAACGAACTAACGGCGAGTTCGCGCGGACATTGTGTTGTTGAAAAAAACCAAATGACGACGTTGTCGACAAACATACATATGAATATACATATGAGCTCGCATACATATTGACGCCGAATTTTGCGCATTGTGGCGGAGTTGACAAAATTTGTTTCAATCGACAATTTAAGACAATGTCGGTCGGCTATGTTGTCTCGATTTTTCCTTTTTGCAGCGCTTTGCTATTGAAAATTGACTTATGCTATTTTGAAATAGTACGATTACCAATTGGGCTGCATTTCTAAAGCGTCGTTTTTAGGTAAAATTGCTTATAGGGTGGTGTAATTTGTTGCGCCGCCTGATAGGATGGTGAAATTTTATTTTCGAACTTGCGCGTTTTCGATGTTTCCTCATCGTTATCAACATACTAGCAGAGAATGTTAATGAATAGAGAAGGAGCAAATGTTAAATGAAATCTTTTTGAGTACTAATTTGTAATTCCAGATGAGGGAACATCGAAAAATATAACTTCGAAAAAGAAAAATACACCACACGATATGCGAAATGCTATAAATAGACACAACGAATATTCCTAAATGAAAAATCGTTGCGCATACTTATTTAGATTTATGTTTTCAATTTCTATGATATGACAAAATTTATAATTATGAAAAGCCTTCTGAATTAAAAAGCTGTATTACCGGTAAAACCCCAGAATTCATAATAAAATAAACATTTAATAGGCTAGGCTGTGCGTTGAGTGAGTAATGCTTATGGAACATAAGATAACAATAAAACGGGGGCTAAGCGGCCGCGTTTCCACTTTCGTGGTGGCTTAGGTCGTAAGCGCGAAGGCGTTAAGCTCATTCCGAATACGAGCATATAAGTTCGAATCCTAAAACTCATGAAACTTAAATGTTGTTTAATTCTTTTTATTATTATATTAGATACAATTTTTTTCGTGAAGTAATGTAACCGGCTGTAATTTCGGGCACATTTTTGTTTAGAGATTGTTTTTATAAAACGAGTTATTGTATTGTTAGATAATAAAAATTTTGCTATAGACGTAGCAAAAATACTTACCAAGTATTCAATCTCCTTATTGCTCAAATCAAATAGTACCAAGAATTGTCCTATTTTTTCCGGAAAATATTCTCTCCGATATACAGAGTTTGACTCTATTTCGAAATAATACGGGCGTTTCGTGGTGGACGCATTAAATTTAACGTCTACTTCGGAAGCTTTATGATAAGCTATACACTGTATGATGTATCTTGTGCATTCAACTCCCAAATTTAAATTAGTTATTGATGTACTGATTTTGATCAAATGTTCTAAATCGGTAGAGTAGTTTACAAACAAATTTAACTTTATTAGCTCTTTAATCCCACGATAAAAATTAGCAGTCATTGTTAAATCCTTTTCCAAAAGATAATGTCCTATACTCAAAGTTATTGTTTGGTTGTCTCGGTCGTTTGGTAGTAACGGTTCATTTTTCCACATAATTTGTGTGTGCACTACCTTATTGCCTATATTTTCGCCTCCAAACCACGCAAACGAGACATTTGAGTTGAAAGAATTTATTGTTGTTAAATAGCTACCATTTACTACTAGGTTACGTTTGGGATATGATAATTCCGCCAAAAATTGCCGCCAGCTGTTGTAATCCTGAAATTTAAATATTAAAGCATTATATAGTAATTATTTTCCATATTAAATGAATTTACCGTATTTGGAATTACAAGGTTATATCCGATCCAAGCTGTTTTCGATAGTTCCAGTTTACTTCTATGTTTAATCTTATATTTCGAAGATATTTCAGAGGTAGTCGTTAAAATTATAGTACGATTAGGATGAATAACCAAAACTTTCGTCTCTTTGTTATTTCCCGACGTAACTTTATGTAATTCCCATGTAATGTTATATTTGTTCGGGTTGCGAAAATCAAAAATCTCTAGATGTTTCATATTTAAATCACAATTTTCCTTGTGGCAGCCAGTACTATTTTCGAAATGAATACCGATAGGTTTAATATCATTATCTAAAAAAATTTTAGTTATTTCTTTAAAAACTGTCAGGTTTTGCTCCGAACGTTTATATGTTCCATTGAGAACAATTTTTTCATTGTAAAAAATTTTAAGAACACCGTTTTCACTTTTCTGTTTTTCAATTAGCTTATATTTAATGTCAGCGAGATGCCGTGTATTTAAAGGTACCTCCAACGAAACGTCTCCTTCAAATACATTACTTAAGTCATGTTGTGTGCGTGAAATATGTAATTTCATTGAAGTAAAATCTGTTGGCCAATCAACTCTACAAAACCCTTGGCAGTATCCTCTGAAAATATTGTGTAAAACAAAAAAATAAATAGTTATTTAAAACAATTTTATAAAAGATGAGAGTATCAGTATTTTTTATTACAATAAGTTATTCTAACATTAGTGCTGTGGGAAGTCACTTACAAAAAGCTATACATTTTAATACCAAATTATTCTCGCTTACGTTTGTTGAGACATCATCTGCGATATAAACACAAACGAAGGGAAAATCTAATATTATATATTACATATTTTACCTAAGGAAAAAGTCTAGTAGTGGGTGTTATAGAAAAAACCCCATTCACAAATAGTGCTTTAAGGTATGCCACCACATAAAATTGTCGAAATCTGACTATTCAAGCACCAAATAACGACTATGGTTCAAATTGCTTGGTTGCCATAGTCTGTCAAATATGTTTGTGTTCTTTCGTCTTTGAAACCGCTTAAAATATTAATAATAAAAAGCTATAAGCTGATAATTTACTTGTAAGCAATTATATATAATTGATTTAACATTTACAAACTTTTTTAGATTTCAAGAATATTTCAATTTGAAATAAAATTTTATTCACATAGCAACTCTAATTGCCTGATGATTTTATTCTTGAAATAGCTTAAAATATTAATTATAAAAACTTTTAAATAATCATGTTCTTGTAAGCAATTGATAAGAATTTGTAAAAAGATGTTATGAAATGCTTTTGCATTTAAAACACTTTTTTGGACTTCAAAAATGTTGAAATTTGAAATAAAATTTTAATATTAAAAAAAAGTATATAAAAATCTAATGTCTGATGCAATTTCTAATGAATGACTTATTTAAATATGTCAAATCAGTGAAAAAAGTGGCGAATTCATTGCATGTAAATATCAAAATCGGTTTTACACATATTTTAAATAATATCAAGTGCGTTTGGAAAGTGTTAGAAGCATAAATTGTACAAATATCGCGTACAAAAATTCGAAACGACGGTGAAGTGTGTAGTGGGATATTGTGCACAAAAACATGGACTCATGTGAGTGATCTAAATTAGTATTTGTTATAAAAACAAGTTTAAATTCGCTAAAATATATTTTTTAAGCTTCATATTTACATGTGCATACTTACATATTTTTGTTACTAGGTTCAAATATAAAGCCCATTACAATACAACATTCTACCATACAAACATTCTTACGGTGCCAAGAAGCATGTATATTAAGTTTCATCGAGATATTTCAATTTTACATATTTCTTGAGAATTCTTAAAAATGAGGACTTAAAAATGTTTTGAGTTATCTTTCGCAACGCGAAGGTTAGTCAAAATTCAATTATTTTAAAGTGCATGGAGCATCTATTTAAGTTTTTGTCATTTAATTGGGCGAACTCGTAATGAATCTTTTAATAATTTAGGTATTATTCAATCAGATAACGCTTTTCAACTCCTATATGCTGACTAATTCAATATTATCACCTAAATCAAGGAATGCGTGAACACTGTTTTGGAACCATAAAAAAAAGGTCTTAACGACCATCCTAACCAACGGGAATTTAAATATCGTCTTCGTTCGTATCTTTTGGGTCACAACGAAGCGGCTTTAACCGATTGCGGCAATGTTGCATCCGACGATATATCCGATTTAGAAGGGACACGGTTACCTCTTACTGATATAAGCTTCAGTTAGGTAGTTATTAGCAGTTATGTATGACTTCATTTCATCCAGGTATACTACTATTGGACTTCGAACTTAAAACTGAAGTGGTTGAATTTGTTTGTTGAAGGATCAGAAGTAAACCATATAGGGGTTAATCACGTAAGCGAGGACGGGTTGGGGAAATCTATTATTAAACATGTAAGGAAGAGCTAAGTTCAGGTGTAAGTGAACATTTCATACTCATGCAACTTGCCAGGATCAAAGCCAGGGAAATACCTTCAGGTGCATATGGTTTGTTAGAACAAATATATTAATGCATGTAGTATATGATGGTTTGGATAATTTGTGAACCAATTTCACATATTTTCGGCATTAAACTATAGTATATCCAATATTTTACTTAGATATCTTATTTATTTGCTAAAATTTGCGATATAAAATCAGCCAGTAGTTCGAAAATCATTCCCTTAGGTATATGGGGGCTAAAGGAATTATTGAACCGATACAACAGAAAAGGATTCTTTTCGAATTTCTATAACATATCTCACAGATTGACGATATTTTCCATCAAATATTCGCTGTTGGAACTGGAGTCCACATATTCAATATATGGGGAGTTGAATAGTTTTAGTCCGATTTAGACAATGTTTGGTAATAAGTACGCCCAACCCAAAGGCACTATTCATGCACAGTCGTATCCCGATATATTTATTGGTGCTTAATTTGCATACTCGAAAATGAAAGAATCAGATGAAATTTAAAATTGTGTTATATGGGAAGTGGTTGTAGTCCGATTTCGCCCATTATGTATATAGAAATACACATAGAAATATAAGATATGTTTTGTATGTAAATTTTGAACGCGGTTCCTATAAGGTCATCTCATACCATCCCAGATATAAAATTTAATGTCTCTGGCGTGTTTAGTGCTTTATTTATTACGCTTTTAGTAATTTTAAACAGTATCGTTATATACGGAGTGGGTTGTCACCCGCTTTCATCTATTTTCACACTGTCAATAGAGGTGCTGAAAGCATTTGTTCTTAGTGAATATCGTTATTATAACTTTAGCGGTTTAGGAGATATGGTTTAATTTATTAGTGTTTTTAAAAAACTTTAGACTGGAGATGGTTCTCCCTATTGCGATCCTGTATACCAAATAACAGTCTTGTATCCTATTGTGGAGCTTAGTTATGGCAACTTATTTGTTTTTGATTAATGGCGGTTTGTGGGCGTGGTAGTGGTCCGATTACGCCCATCTGCAATACAAACCGTCTTATGGTACCAAGAAACATGTGTACCAAATTTCATAAAGATATCTAAATTCTTACTCAAGTTACAGCTTGCATAGACGGACGGACTGACAGGCGGGGTGACGGATTTCAACTCGTCTCTTCATCCTGATCATTTATGATACAAACAACCGTAAGGTGAAAAAAATTATTATACTCTGTAGCAACATGTTCCAAGAGTATAAAAATGTTTCAAAAGAATTTAGCATTCATTATTTGAAGAAATTGTGAATATATTAAAATAAAATTTGGTATATTCTTGAATTATATTGAAGATTATTAACTTAGACTTTTTTATCACTATATTTTAGTTTCCGTCAGCTAAAATTATGTTAAACACATCTTTGGAGGATTCATTAAATTAGTGATATGAGGTTTAGTCCAGGGTCTGAGCCAATTCCATTTCAATTCAGCGCTAAACCACATAATTTTTAAGAAAACTTGTCCATTTAATTTCATTAAAATATTACATTTTGACCAACCTGAACGGTTTAAAGTCAGGTGGAGAGACCAAAATCATTATATGGGGCATATTGGGTGCAGAGAAAGGGATTGCATTAAGTTAGTTTGGCCATTGGCCAGGTATACTTGAGAACATATTTTCCAGCAATGTTTTAAATTATATAACTTACACACTGAACGAAATATTCGGCATAAAACTTGTTGAAAAATGCAAATATAATAATTATATGTAGTATATGGGAGTTGGGGGTGGTCTTCACCCGATCTTATCTATTTTTGCCAATACCACATGCTATTAACATTCCACGTAAAAATAAAATGTTCCTTGGGTTTTATTAAGGTACCTCACATACCATCAGCAATATATAAGAAGTAAAATCAACTGGATGTTTGAAAGTCCTAATATTAGTTATATGGGGGCTAAGGCAAGTTGCTAAGGCAAGTTTTCATCCGATTTTACTCATTTTAGGCACATAGATGGACCGTTTTTAAAAAACACGCTCAATGAAGTTCATTAAGGTAATTTACATACAAGCATTGGCCGATATATGCGGTATATAGTCAGCCGGAAGTTCGCAAATCTTTCTAATTGGGAGCTACGAGAAGTATTGACCCTATTCAACCCATTATTGACATACATAGTACATAATAATATCAGAAAAGAATTCCTTCCGAATTCCAATTATATACTTACATATCATATTAGAAGACCCCGGCCACGCTTTGCTGTGGCTAAGGTATAATTTAATTATATTGAATATGCTATTTAATTTAGTAAAATGTTATTATAAAAAATTAATTACGGCATTTTTTGCTGTCTATATAGCTCGATTACCGAGCCAGTTATGATTTAAGTAATTATTTTGGGCGTCTGGGAAAACACGGCCAATTAATTAATTTTGTCCGTGTGCAATAGTGCTGAAATTGTCTGGCAGGTTAGGACATTTCGTATTTGGTTGCAGTAAGTAAATGCTCAAAAATGTCATACACATTAAAAAAAAATTATCGGAAAGATCGACACCAAACTTTACAGGATCACTCGCTGGGCCGAAAATTTCATTGAAATCGGTCTAACCATTTCGGAGTTTATAATATATTTGAATACTCCTGTATATTATTAAATATTTTATTACATCATTACTGTAATTAGGAAGCGTTTCTTTTATTATATGTTCATAAATCCACTAAGACCAAATGAAGTTTCAAGTGGCTAGTTGCGTCCATGGGGATAGCATAAATGTCTTTTCCATGAAAAAATACAAGTACATACTAATTTTTATATAAACCGGTTAAACTATATAGAAGTCGGTATATTGCAGCACCACCTGGTGCCGAGTTACGGGGATAGCATAAAAACCTTCTCCGTGAAAAAATACATATACATACCAATTTTCATAATGATCGGTCAAATAGTTTCTGAGTCTATAGATTTCATAATATACACATCCTTCTTTATATATATAGATCAGGTAGATCCCGAGAAATGAGTCTTCACTTAAAGGTAAGCGACCAAGCGCATTGTTAAATTTTTGTATTGGCTATTGCACTTTTAGTAGTTTTTATTAAAACTTTATATAGAGAGTGGTCGGGGTTATCACCCGATTTCATCCATTGTCGGTAGGGTTGTAAA